AGAATACCACTTGCTCTTTGAGCATATGTACAACTACTTGACATTACCAGAGTCAAGTTAATCAAGAGCCACTTGATCTGTTCAGTGTGAAATCCAACATCACTGACTTGATGTTCTCTGCTATCATGACTCATACGCCTTTCTCAAAGTCGGCTTTGTTGCTCCGCTGCTGATGTCTAATTTGATGCAATATACCCTCTTATTTTGTACACAAAGTGTGCCTTCAGATGGGTCTGACCCTTTGACCTGCTGCCATTGAGTTTTATTGCCCTTCATGTTTGAATGTCACTAAAGAAATATGATGGTATCTGACTACGTCCCGGCAGGATGAAAAGACACACAGTCTGACTTACAATCAGGAAATGAGCAGCGTATTGATTTTGCACGCTTTGTTCAGCAATGTTCCGACCATTATACAGATTGTAGTTATGTAAACATATAAACAGCAAACATACTTTTTATGATAAATGTGTAATACCCTCTTTACTGCCTGCGAGGTCACATACTGATGAGGATTTTCTCTTTTAGCCAGAGCCTTCTGAATTTACTGCTAAATCCTCCGAGCAGAGTGTGCGTGCGTGTGCGTGTTTCAGGAAACAATTCAATTGGATGACTGTGATACGTTCTCCCCTTGTCTGTTTGTCCATCTGCCTGTGCGGATACATCTCCTGATTCACTTTGTGTTCCCTGTGCGATGCTGCATCCTGTGCACGGCACGCAGCGCAGGTCACACGGAGCCATCCAGGGAAAGAGATCGTCAGTGCTCATCCCCAAACCTCCCGCCGAACCAGTCAAATCAAGCGGGATGCGGAGCGACTGATATGACGGACAGTGTGTTTTGCAACGGGCGAGCAGACGTTGCTCGCGCGGGCAGAACTCCAGACAGAGACGCACGACTCCCGCGATGATGTGTCGTTTCCTCCCTCTCAGAATAACGCAGATAAACCCTCCCACGCTCTCATCTACGTGCTCTACCTGTTCCTCTCGCCTCCGTCTCGCCGCTCCTCTCTAATCCACTTGAATGTAGCTGGATATTAGATTAGAAAGTTATAGATGTGATTATTCGTCCCCGGGCACAGCAACCTATTCGCTGATTAAAACGTGAACTGGGGGCCATTATGTAACTGCTTAAAGAGATTAAACCTAGTCACCCCTGTGGGGGCCCGCGCTCTGTCGTAACGCACAATAGAGATGACACAGAAGATGGCACAAGGGGTGTTTTTTTTACCGATAGGTAGAAAGGTAGTATCAGAGTAGAAAAGGGAGGAAACACTAATGTTAGCGATAGGGGGGTTGATGATGTAAGCTTTTCACCAGTCTGACTTCAGGCAGCAGGTATTGTCTCCTCCTTTGAAATCCGATTTTACCGAATCACCCTCACAACCTCCGTGAGAGTAAAACTTCTGGTTTGTTTTATGGAAATGTAGAAACCGTTTTGAGGATTAGCATACTGAAAGTGTCCAACCTTTACCTGTCAGATAAAACTGAAACAGCCTGAAGCGAGACATAATTGTGTTTGGGGGGACAGACGTGGCCGCGTTGATCAGCTAGTTTTTTGTCTTTTGCCTGTAGTAACATTTATGTTGCTCTTTTTCACGACAAGTGAACCCGACGAACCATCCGAGGAAAATGGGAGTTGGATGAGAGTCCACAGTGAATGTTACAACTCAAACTGCAATATTCATAAGCGACATGCTGGTTATTGTGAACCCTCTGCCAATTGCTTCTAGGAACAAAGCATTGAACTTCGCCGAAGGCATAATCAATGCTAAAGATAAGGTGAATAAGGTAAGGGTAATATTGGATTGTTGGAGAGGAGGATCGGCCGGATCTGCAGTGTTTAATGTCCTTAGCTAACTAACGTCTAATGTCCACTGTAAGAACACGACATCTCAGATGCTTTTGAGTCACACTCAACAGTGAAAAGAGCTACAGAGTTACAGAGGGAAGAAAAGAAAAAAAGCAATAACTGTTCAAATATTATGTAAATATGAATGGAACAGCATTTTGCTGCCTTGTGTCTCTTCCCCATGACAACTTCAAGAAATATGATTTACAATTGAGGGTATTTTTAAAATAGCTTTCACTCTGATTGGAACATATTTCAAGCTCTTTTCTCATAAGATGATAGGTAATATAATGTTATATTGTCTTTTGTCAAAATTGCTTCGATGACTTGATTAAAGAAATTAATAAATATTGTCTGATTTCATGTGTTTTTTCTCCATCTTTAATCCTAATTTTTTTTAAATGTATACATTTGATCATGACAGTCTGAACGCACGTCTCAACGCTTTCACTGCTTATCCCGTTTTTAACGTCACATCGCGATGACTTGTGGGCAATTCGCTTTCCGTAAGTCAGCTCAGATGCTGACTTACGGAAAGGGCTCATAAATGGCTCCGAATGTCTGCCAGAGAGCCCTCAAACGCTCCGCGGTCTGACAATGGGACAGCCCTAAACCCTCACAGGGTTAGCGGGAGCGCACCTCAAAGTCTAAAGGGGAGATTGGGATTGGGCCTGTGTGTGTGTGTGTGTGTGTGTGTGTGTGTGTGTGTGTGTGTGTGTGTGTGTGTGTGTGTGTGATGCAGGGTTCAAATGCTGGTCATGACAGCCACATTGAATATATTTCATTCTGATTGTATTATTCTGAGACCATTTTGAGGCAGATAAGTAGCTGTATCAATAATGTTCGGAGCCATTTAGGAAAGTGTTTTGACATTATGGAAAAATGTGCTTTATTCACCTTTTGATGAGAAGATCAACGTCACACTAAGGTTTTAGACTAGAATCAGTACTTTAACATCCAACAGCCACAAAATGTTTCTTTTCTACAATGCGAAAGGAGAAGGAAAACTGTTCTTTGAACGGTTATTAAAACTAATTTGTACACTGGAAATAACTGTATGGCACAGTGACGTTGTGCACAACACAATACAACACACTGCAAACTGCAGACTTTTGATATAAAAACAAAAAGAAGCTTTTTGAAGCTGTATGTCATTAAATCTTTCCCCCGCTTTGCTGCGTTATCAAGTTGGTGATATCGTCCTAATGGCGTCCTCTGCCCCCCCCTCTCATTATCAGCGCGTCTTTGATGCTGAGGTTTACAGGCGCAGGCAACTGACGGGGAAAAGCGTTCAAGACACTGTGTATCCATCCCTGTAATAATGACAAACACGAATAAAGGGAGGTTGTCTTTGATGATCTTCACATTCAAAGAAAAAGAGACACGGAGACAGTGGGACAAAGTCCTCAGAGAGTTTAGTTAGAAGTGAAGCTGGTCGGTTCTGTGGCAGACACACACATGCACGCACACACGCACACATGGACCCTGCGGCCGTTATTCTTTCAGCTTAAATGAGAAAAAAAATACTCAGCACGCGAATTTCCCATTCAGAGTTAATAACAATCAGACCTGTAAACCACGAGGAGGACGAGGACAAACCAGATCCGCGTTCATTGTTTCAGTAACAGCTGGCCTGCGAGAATGTGAGGGTGGAAGCAGCCTTTGGCGCGACCTGCGTGAGGCCTCGACCTGTTAAAATCGACTATATCTTCAAAGCCAGCTGTCAGAATGTTGTTCCAATGAAAAACTGACAATGGTCACTAAGTGTATTCGAAAATATCTGCCTCGGGCGGAGTTAAAAAAATAAGCAAATGTCCATCCAACTTTAACAAAATCCCAGACTAACGTGCCTGCTTTAACTAAGATGTGCCATACTTTTCTTGGATATTACTTATATCTTTACAGCAGATACACAGTGTCGTCGGTTTGTGCTGCTGAATCTCCACTGCCACTGACTGTTGCCAGCGTAAGTGCTGATCCGCGTCCAAGCGCGCCATATGTTTCTTGTGTAACTTATTGCTTTCCCATTCCCAATAAAGTGGCAGAATAAAAAGGCTTTTACAGGTCCCTGCGGGTAGCAGCTACTTCCAGTGGTAGTCACTGAGCTGTCGGGCTGCTGTGGTGACAAATGGCACCGAGCACACATTTTACTATTGCCATTTACAATGCATGATCCAGGCTGTGCTGCTCAAATGACTGTGCAGCAACACCGCTGAGTTATGTGAGCAAGCCCCAGTGCAAATTAGTATTGAGCCTGTTTGGAATTTATTCATCAGTCACTTCCATCTTTCTGTTTTTCTTGATTCACTTTTGAGGTGAAGCTGCATTTGTTAATAATATAAAAATATGTTTTTCATATCTGACTTTTGTTCTGCTTCTGCTTTGTTGTAAGACCAGGGAGGTTTTGACATAAATATGTGAGAATGTGGGACCCGTAAAGCAAACCTGAGGTCACCAGATCTACTTCTGCTGGAAACATCATCATCATTTGGCACATGCGGTCACCATGGCGTGGTTGTGGTATCCACGAAGGCCCTCTCGCGTATTGCGTTTATATATGCAACGATGTCACACCTAGGTGTTTTAAAATGACACCACATATTTTTTCCCAGAACAGAAAACAAGGCGCAGCGCGCGTTTCCCAAACCCCAGAGGTGCGTAAACGGAGTTTTCGTGCGTTCACCGCGCACTGCAAGTTGTGCTTTTGCAGATCCAACACACGTGGCCGTCAGGGGGCAGGCATCAGTCGGGGAAGCTCTCGGGAGAAACGTGGCTTCCTGGTTTGTTGCTCACCGGCAGCAATTATTGGCGCGCGCACGTACACGCACGGGCACACAATAGATAGATATAATGGAATAAGAAACTTATTTAATGCCTTGCGGTTTTTTTTCTTTTTGTATAGGTCGGAAACACAGCTAAGATCATAAAAACAGGATAATGAGACTGAAGCATCTGTCTCTGGAAAAGAAAAGTCGCCATACACTTTTCATACTCCACGAACACCTCATACAGGAGGCGTATGCTGTTTTACATTCATTATTAGGCTACTAGTTTAAAAAAAAAGTATGATATCAACGTGAGGGCAGGAGGCAGAGAGGGAGAACTCCAGAGTGATACAGAGTCTAGCACGGTAGCCAGAGGGCGGTGGCATTCCTCCCTCTCTGCGTAAACGGAGCGAGTGGAGAAGGAGAGCGCGCACGGAGAGAACAGCACAGCTTTTGTGGCGAGGCAGCAGCAGCAGCAGCAGCGGCAGAGTCGGCGGCGCTGACACGAGTGACGGGACCCCGTGGCGATTCCCACCACCTCTCTCCTCTCACAGCTTAACCCTCTGAGACGGACCTCCGCATCGGGGACTACAGGCGATACACTCCGCCACCTTTTTCTTTTTTTCCCCCTTCGCTTTTTGGACTCGTTTGATTAATCAGCAGACCTTGAGTTGGAGGAAGGAAAGGGAGGGGGGTCCTCGTTTCCCCCGCCGAGGAGTTGTGTGCGCGTGTGTGTTTTTACGCGTTGCCTGTAATGGGGAAAAGTGGACAGAGAAGTGGAATAGGACGCCGGGGCTGCAGCTTGGTGAGGATGTGTGCCACGCCGGGGATCCTGCTCCTCGTCATGGTGCTCGCACACCGAGGAGTCGGCCAAGGTGAGCATCTTCTTCCACACCTTTCCTCCCAATACTTGTTTTTAGAGTGATAGTAGCATCCCTCCATTGCGCGTCGCTCAGCAGACGGGGGAGCTCCAACCAGGGAGGCTTTACGTTATTTGTTGTTGTTGTTGTTGTCGTTGTTGTTGTATTTCCATTTAAATTGAGCTGATGACGGAAGGTGCTTTACCGTCAGCGGCTCGAGGCGCTGGAGCGCGCATCCCCCTGAGCGCACGGTGCCAACTGCGAGGCGAAACTCTGCAGCCCACGTTTCTCGATTCGGGACGATAGAAACGCACTCGCTTTAAGTCATTGCGGCTGAGTAGGAGGCGGGAAAAAACTCGCTAATATTAAGAAATGCATAGAAACGAACAAGGCTGTAAACAAAACCCAACTCCTGTCACATTTTTTTTTACAGTGGCTTTTTTATGACGCCCATGCTGCCTACTGACTAAATGGCTGCGAGCTTTCAGTTAAATTGCGGTGCAAAAGCTGTGAAGGGCAGGGCGCTTAAGACTGCGCGATTAGCCGACTTTGCGTCTAATCGCGCAGCACTTATCGGCCCCGGAGAGGCGACGCGTCGCGGCGGCGCGGATCACAACAATCGATCACAAGTCACACAAAACACCCGCAGCCGCCAGAAGCGTGAGGACGCAATTATCCACCGCGAAGCTCACAGGCAAAAAAAAACCAGGGACGCAATGTTGGAGATGAAATGCCACAATCAAAGCACGGTTATTGGCTCATAAAGAGCTGCCGCCCTCCCCACCCTCAGCCCCCCCATCCGAGTATGAAACTCTACCCCGTGAAATGAAAACACGATGTGTTGTTTTATAGCCACGCATTGGCACCTGGGGGGGTTGTAGACAGCAAATATAAATGTATATTCTGAAGAGTGACATTCAAGCCCACAGGGCGCCAGGGGGTTGTTGGGCTCCTCATCGGAATAAGAAGACACACCTTAAAACCGCCGCGGAATCTTTAATTTTTTTTTTAAATCTCACTTTGTCCTTTTTGAGAGCGTCACGATCCGAAATGCGGACACACGACACCTTCCTCGCTCTCACACTCTCAGGGCCTTCCACGGGTAGTCTTGAAGTTGATCCAAACGCACTAATGCCCCCCCCCCCCACCATGCCTCAGAAACCGCAGAGGTTAGACCTTATAACAGCCACTTACGGTGGTTGTCATCCCCAATTAATGTCTGAAAGTCTTATATTCTAATATGCTATTAGGGCTCTGGGTTGCTTTAATCTTTCGCCTCCATTACAACATGTACGGATGCCTCTGGATACAGCAGGTCGGCTCCTACTCAGCAAATTGGTCCCAACTTTACTGATCCGCTGAAGGTTCACGCGCTGGATTGTAGAAGTAATCGGACATATTGCTGCTGCCACCTTCCTCCTGTTGCCCGGGGGAATAACATTTCAGCAACACCCACCCATATTCATTATGACCGTTCCCTATAGGTTTACTGTTAAATCAATACATTGCAATTTAGAGACACGATTTGAGTTGTCTTTCACCAACCTCCGATAAATTACAGCTCGGCACTTCATTTGACTTTGGTAGAGAAATCTTGTAATTGGAAAATAAAACAATTGATGAAACTGAATCTCCTCGATTGTTGTTCCTCATCCTTTTTTAAAAATATATATATGTCTGGTCTTCTCCTGGTTTGGGCTCGTCTGTTGTGCCCCTGTTTGTTATTTCGTTCCTCCTCCCAACTTGACTCGTGTCTCTGAAGTCGATTCTTCACTCCATTAGTTGTTCTACTGAATGGAGAAAACACACAACACATTGTCTGAACTGCGGGGGAGGCGGTGGGGAGGTGGGGGTGAAGAGTGGGTGGGAGGCCTGCTCTGTGTACATAGCTAATCCTCTACGTGCTGGATTCAATTCTCCGTCTACTCAGGTAGAAATCTTCCCTCGAAATACACAAATAAATGCGGTTTCTTTTCATTTTCTCTTTGAACAGAAAAACAAAATGGTATTTTTTTACCAAATGATGCTTCAGTTATAATCAGTTGTTGCCTCCAGTTTAACGCTGCTGTGGAATATGTGGTTTGTGCGGTTTAATAACTGACTGTTTGTTATTGAGGTTGCCAGTAATTGTGTTCAGGGTGATGGCTTTTGTGGAAATGATGCTGGCGCTGCTGTGGATACCAAAAAAAAAGTTATTCTACACAATTTATGGATTAAATCCAAGTCGATCTTCAATTTTCTTTTCGCCCTAATGAATTCAAACAGACACCAACGTCTTTCTCTCAGCTTTGCTATAGAAACCGTGTTACACAATGGAAAAGTCCCTTGTAGGCTGACGCACACTTGTGCGCACACAGACGTGTGTCCCCACAATGAGAAGAGAGTGCGTAGGTGAGACCCTCTCGTGCAGTTTGAGTGCATGCGTCTGCTTCCTAACTAAAGCCCCCCCTCGAGCCCCTCGGCCTCTCAAGAAGCCGTTAGCTGAGCCCCCTTATGTTTCATCGGGAACAGGTGTCAGGAACACTACCAACTCTGAAAAGTCCATTTGTTTGTTATGACGACTAAACTGCCTTGTCGACATGTTGTGCGATTGTGGACAGTGTTTTCTCAAACTTTTTTGTGTTTTTGCCGCGTCGGTTTGCCTGCTGGCTTCTAGCTCACATGTCTGTGGCTTGTTGTGGTGCAGTTGGAAAAAGGCTTTTTCTTTCAATTTAACAGAACCAATTATTCTAGGCAACCATGTTCTGACTCACTTGGTGTGTTTGTGTAATATCTGGGGGTGCAGAGTTGTGTAGCTGTTAGTGCTCATATGAGGAGTGTGTGTATTAACTTGGCAGCTTAGGGTTGTTCTCAGAAATCCTGTGGTGAGTGTGTGTCCATACGTGGGATTGTGTGATTTTGTACATGTGTGTCAACTTGGCATCACAACGCTGCTCCAGCAGATCTCACATGGTATTCTTTTGTGTGTGTGTGTGTGTGTGTGTGTGTGTGCTTTTGGCATTATGATTTTGCCAGAGCTCCCATGCTGTCTCCCATTATGCACTGATCCTGTCCCATGGTGCACTGCATCAGGGTTCAATGCTTTCGGGGGGGACGACTGGGAATCATTGGAACTAAAGAGTGCAATTTGATTGGCCGACCAATACTCCAGCGACTGCGATGCCATCGGCCGAGCAGGATTTATCTGGCAAATTTAACGCCATTTCTGTATCGGGGCGGAAGGGTGAGTGGGGGGGGGGTTAGAAAGAGTGAGAGAGGAGAAGGATGAATGGACGAAGAAGGGAGAGATCTCTCTGGGTGGTTTGTACCACCTTTGATCACTCCACTAGGACTTGACAAGGTGACTGACTGCTACACACACACACACACACACACACACACAGAACACACAGCAAGATATTTCTGCAGTCAAACAATGCTGTATTCTGTCTGCCTTCTCTGCGTGTGTGTTTGTGAGCATGACGTGTGTGTGTGTATGTGTGTGTGTGTGCGCGCGCTCGGCCAAGCGTTCACAGGGGTGCGTGAAAGGAAGTCTTTGACTGTGTCTGGGTTGTTTTGTAGAGAAGAGCCTCCTGCTGCTGGCAGCAGCCTGGTGATGGCAGATTTCCTTCACCCTCTCTGCATTCCTTTTTTTAAATATATTTTTTACATTTTTGTTTGTTGAAGTGTACATATTTTTAAGTTTCTACACCCACATCCCTCTCTGTCTTTATCCTCCGGTCTACATGCAGCTGGTGAATGCTTTATACCGGCCTTCTTTCTCCCCGTCGGTGTCCTTGTGTACGTTCAGTCATTCACCCCGTAGATTTAATGTTTGACTGTGAAGCTGTGGAGCTTCTTCATCCAACAGCATCCATGTGCATATTATATATACAGTTTACTTTGAACACAGAGTAATTATGGCTCGGCCTATTTCAGGAATCAAGAGCCGGAAACGTGGGTTGTTTGTCAAGCGGGAGAGAATTTTTACAGGGGAGGAAAGCACAGATGAAATCCGACATAGAAGATCCACACTAGAAGAAGTGTGGTTATTCAGAAGGCCGCGTTGACGAAAAGCGTCACACCGTTTGCACCATTCACTGTCACTTCCTCCGTGTAGGGGAAAGCCCGGGATGTAACCTAAGAATGCGTCCTTCTGTGTGTGTGTGTGTGTTTGTCTCTGTGAGGGTAACTGTTTGCTAGAGACGGTGTGAGCTTGAGAAGAGACGAGAAAGAGCAACGAGAAGCTAATTCAGAAGCTGATTCCCAGTGTCTCCTGCTGTTAGGCCCAATTCCATCTCCAGTTTCATGTAAAGATCTGCAATTATGAATTTTTCATGGGCTGCGAAACCTAAGGCCTCATTTGGGGCTCTCATTTCCAGGCTTTTTGTTTCAGTTACTTGTTTGTGTGTGTGTGTGTGTGTGTGTGGGAGGGGTCCGTTTGTGCCCAATCAATGGCCTACTATAAAGTTCCCAATGGTCCCATGCAGTACAAACAATTATTAACCACAGATTTAGATGCATTCTATACTTCATTATGTTTACAATCACATTATTAGATCACAATGTAAGATAAAAACAAAAGGGAGCCTTGTATTAAATGAGTTTCGGAATGTACCCCATGGTGGAAGAGCTGGTTCACAGAAAAATTCCATAATATTGTTTTCGACAAGCTAACTCTGAATTGAATCCCCTCGTCGTTTATTCAGCCTGCAGCCGGGAGAAGCAGGGCGCCTTTGATTCCCGCAGTAAACAATTGGATTTCAGTGAACTGAAGCCGCCATCCGCCAGGCCGCAGATTTTTTGTGCTGTTGTCCATCGTCTCAGTTCCTCGTTCTTGTCATTTGTCCCCATTTCTTTGGCCGTCTCTGTCCCGCTTTCTCTCCTTCCCATCTGCTGCCTCCGACATTCGGTTTGCCTCTCTCACCTTTTGCCCCCTTTTTGTTATTCTCTTCTTTTGCTACAGTCTCTCCCCGCTCTGCCCCCTTTCTGTGCTTAGATTTACACAGTTTAATTAGAGTGTGTGCCAAACAGTG